TTCGGCTACTGGTTGATCAAGCTTAGATGTTCTGATAGCTGATCTGTGTTGTGTCATTCTCATACGGAGAGTGTTTTTTGTTTCTCCGACATATTGTTTACCACAAATATTAAAATATATGAGATAAATTACATTTTTGGTGAGGAAATTAATTGATTGCCTTATCCGAAATATGTGGTTTGTTTGGTTGTTCTTGAATGATTGTGTAGAAAAAAATAAATATATATATATATAACACATATATATATATATATTTATTTATTATATATATATATATATATTTTTTAAATATATATACATATATAGGCCTATATATAATATATTAAATTTGTGGTAATAATTGCTACAAAATATATTCTAACAAGGTATTATAGCCCAATCATGCATATACATAGGTTTATGATTAGTTATTAGGGTATGCTTTTACATAACACGTGAATTTCGTTCTTATCCGCTGTAGCAGGTTAATGCCAAAATTAAGCAAGAGCTTTTCGGCTTTTGGACTCAGCGTGTGCTGTTGGGAAAGTGTCCACTGGGTATACTTTAACGCGTTTCATGAGACGCAAAATGCAGAAATGCGCAAGCGCAGATTAATATTCCAGTGAACATTCACATAGGATACAGGCTGGATAACGGTTATAAATATTGACACAGTGGATTCACATACACAAAGTAGGGGAAGAGATGGAATAAACGGTTATCTCCCAAGTTTCCGAAACTAAAACAAAATATATAAAACAACCCGGATAAAATGCACACATTTGGTGGATTTACCCTTGCTAAGCTTAGATTACTGAGTATTAGGCCTACCATGTGTTATTGCCTTTTCAACCGAATTAAAGTACACATGACGTCTTAACGTGTTAACACAGTACCGTAGTTCACAGTACGGTACAGTATTAATGTACAGTATGTTCTACGGGCCTGTTCCGTCACAAAGGTCATCGTGTATATATAAATAGGCATTAGCAATCTTCAAACAAACATTTTAACAGAGTTGGTGAAGATACTTGTATTTATTTCTAATATTATTGATACTGTAAAACAAACGAGGTAAACTTAGATAGGAAACATTTCAGACTAAACAACTTTGAATTGAGTACCTTTTATCTATCCGTGTTACAAATACGAAAATCTCGACTTTTTAAACAATAATTCATTATTACATTAATTGAGAAAGCACCAATTATTTAAATACAAGGATATGTGTACTGTATTAGTTGATACAGTACACATATCTTTGTATTTAAATACAAGGATATGTGTACTGTATTAGTTGATAAAATACACATATCCTTGTATTTAAATACAAGGATATGTGTACTGTATTAGTTGTTAAAGACACACTTTGGCCTTTCTTTAAAATCGCAATCGATTGTGAATCAGTTTTTGTGGAAATGTTCCAAAAATTATTATCCGAAAATATATGATTTACTGTAGTTATAAAACTCTGTGTTTATTCGCAAAAAAACAAAAACAAAAACAAACAAACAAACAAATAAACAAACTATTAAGAGTCAAGCAAATTGTATGTAATATTTAAGACATAGTATGAAGGAGGATTGATTAGAGCATGTGCGAACAAAAAAAAGGTAGTAGGCACGTAGATCATGTACCGAACTTGTTGTTGATTCAATATAATGCTACAGTAGACTGCAGTCTATGCACTAGCTCTAAGATTTAGCAGGGTTTGATATTACAAAACAAAATCCGTTTTTATACAAAATTTTTGATACTTCATCAAAAGAAAAATAGATTATTAAAGTATTTAATAATAATTATGATAATTCATTAGACAGTTGGGATCGTTAGCAATAATCGACTATTTTTACATTTATCATTAAATAGGCACCACCTGAGTAAATAATTTACCTCTTGCTAAAATCCACTAAAAAACATTTACATACAATTGTTTAAAAAGTTACCAATAAGGAAATTAATTGATCGACAGGTTACCTGGGGGATGTGATTTATTTTTTAGGAAACACGCAAAATCACCGTAAAAACAATAGAGTTACGAAGTCATTGTACCCAGAATGGAGCGAAAGGGGTACCCCTACCAAGCAGCAGCCAAATGTCATTTCTTGAGTATCTTCACTGGGTACATGCTGACCACCAAAGCAGTAACCTAACATTTTAATGGCATAATAAATAAAGGACAACAAACCTTCAAAAACAACTAATACATTCAAGAGTTTGACCGGCTATAAATATAATTTAAGAGAACTAGAAAGTTTACGTTCTGGTATCTGTAACACGCGATAAACACATGAATTATTTCTTTACACAATTTGAACTCTCGCTGGCTAAGCCATGGAGGAAGCCATTACCTAACGGGCCCGGGATATTATTCGGCTTTTTTGTCAAGGCCGTGGACCCCACTTCGGCCGAGCGAGGCCACTTAATGAGCAGAATGTAATATAAAGCATACATATACGCCCTTCAAGTAAATTAACGCCAGAGTGGACTGGGGTTTCCCCGCATCCAATCGGCCCCATACGCAGTCCCACCCCCAGGTTGGTAGGCTAAAACAAGCATTGACCAAAGGCCTCATTCCTCTATGTTTACGCTACTACGCGTAGTCACATGATTATTTTTTTTCTCGAAAATGATTAAAGGTGATGCTGTTGACGACGACGACGACGACGACGACGATGATGATGGTGGTGGTGATGATGATGATGATGATGATGTTGATGATGATGATGATGCTGATGATTACAGTAGTAATGAAGAGAATAACATGAATGTATTAAGTCTCTATGAATTAGAAATTTTCCTGATTTATTATTATTATATTATTTTATAAGACCTAATAGTAATTTTTATTAAAGTAAAAAAAAGTTGACTTACTTGGCATGGTAAAAGCTCAATGAATTTTTATCAGTCAATCAGTCGAATGTGTTTCCCGATTAGACACCAAACAGCAAGTTAAAACGCTCCTCTCTTGAGCTAAGCGGTAGTAAGTCGGCTTCTTGCAGTGACTCTGCAAAGGCTAATAACAGTTGATCTTCCGAACGTAGCATTTCAGAGCAATCAACCGGTAGTGTGTATGGAAATCAGTGCGCATGTTCTGCTACAAACTGACCAATCAGAGTCCACAATAAAGTACGAAAGTACTAATTGTAAAATCACTTGTAATGTTGTATTGATTACAGGTACAAAGTGGAACCAGGTAACTGGTGTCTATGGGTAATACAGACCGTCAATTAGAGGCTTTCTAAATAGGCCTATTTCCTTCAATGTGTTATTGCATTAATGTCAACGAGAAAATTGAAGAGTTATGACTTAGCCTCCAGCATTCCGTTGATCAAAATATAAGACGCGCGAGCCTTCAGACGTAGGCCTAAAGGCGATAATGTGAATGATGGCAATGATGCGTGATGACTTCGAAGGAAAAGAGAGAAACAATAATGATACAAATATTCAGATCGCACTAAAGAAAAGTAATATGCGATTGAGTGCGCTCTCGGGTTTAAATTCTACGCCCACTGTAACTCTTAACGCTAGGTTCACACAGGGAGGTGCACACGTGACCGTAAGGTTTGCCACATAAACATAGTTCCATTTTTGTCTCATATTCTCCCTCTAGTGCAAAGAATAAGAGGGTTCAGAGCGTGTGGTTGCTCTCATGGCTCGGCACAATGGTTGTGGTAGGCCTACGCGTAATTTAATTCGAAAATAAAATGCTGCTTGCGGTGGTGCGGAAGCCCTGCCACGCGTTTTCGTAACGTACGTAAATCAAACCAAGTTTAAAATATCAGTGAGAACTTCTTACGTTTGGTTCCACACTAGAGCTATTTTGACGTATCTTCTCCACGCAAACGCAAGCAACACCACTACGCATACGCCAGCATTCACCAGAACAGACGATTTTATAAGTGTATCATAAAAATAAACGTGTATTTGTCGCACAGGCCTACGCAGCTTTGCTCGGGGCCAGAAATTCGTCCCAGCCAATTTTTGTGCGAGAAAATGATGTAACGCAGCTGCGGACAGACCTGCAAGTTGGTTTGCTTGTAAATATGCATGCTCTGTAATGTTTCAGCATTTTCAGCATGTAGTCAAGAGGTGTAGTCCTACTTATTGCTTCGACGAGATCTAAAGCAGTAGTGGTGCCAGCGGGAGAGTAGGGGTTCCCCTTTCACCGTCGGACAGGCCTGGACCCCTGTCGTCCGACGCCGCGACGAGGTCGTTGGATAAAAAATAAATCCCCTATCTAAATGACGTTATTTTGATTGCCAACACCTAATATTGATGTCTAACAGTACAATTGTGGCCATATCGAGCTATAAAAACTCTCCCCGTGAACCCTACCATAATATTTTTTTAAATTTCGGGACCCGGACTAAGGCTCTATAAATCAGTACCTATAAATCGATAATATTTAAGTAGTCTTTTTCCTGAATTGTAAATAAAGCATGTTACGACTATTTAAATAATAGTAATATTTAAAGTTGTAATGGTTGGCATATTATTTATAATTTACTATACCAAAAAAATTATGATTATTAACTTCACAATATTCAAATAGCTAGCCATATCATATATAT